GGCCCCCCAGAGGGTTTGGGAATGGGGGGGCCCCCCTGTCAAACCCTAGGGGGCCCCCTAGGGTTTGAGAAGGGGCCCCTTCGAGGGTTTAGTGGGGGGGCCCCCTGAGGGTTTGAACCCTCCATAACAAACCGGGAGAGAGAGAGGGGGCAGAAGAGGCGGGGCTAAGAAGTTGGGGGCTAGAGGGAAGTCAGCCCTGTAAAGAGACAGAAGAAATATAAATATATATATATATATATATATATTTAATAATAATAATATATATAAATATAATATATATATATAATAATATATATAATTAGAGTAATAATATTTAGAGAAATAAGTAATGAACAAACAAATATAAAGAGGAGACTCTTCGCTTGCTGTGCGTTGCAGCAGCAAACAAAAGGAGACAGACACCGCAGGTATATGCAGCAACAGAGGAGACCTCAAACTGTTTACTATACAAATAATATACATAATAGAGGCAGCATATACAAATATTCACAATATTAAATATATATATATATATACATATATATATATATAGATATATATATATATATTTATATATATAAGCAAAAGAATGTATCACTTGTGTATGTGCATTATTGCCCATCCACAAGGGTTTAGGGTTAATTAGGGTTTAGGGTTAATTAGGGTTTAAGGTTTAGGGTTGATTAGGGTTTAGGGTTTTGTTGGTTTCTAGATTGCATCTTTAATTAGGCCTGCGATTGGCGTTGTGGGCGTTTCCTTATAAGGTTTATTAGGGTTTACTAGGGTTTAGGGTTTAGGGTTTTCGGGGTTTGTTTGCTGGGGTTATTAGGGTTTATTAGGGTTTGCGAGGGCTTGGGGTGTATAGGCAGCTAACCAGGTAAATCTAGCTTCAAAGAAATGCTGCTCCGATATCTGCAATACATGCAACAGCTGTCTAATTAGATAAACAGTTAGAAGAGACAGCCGGGGGTCTTCATAAGAAATGCTTCCTCCATAAACATTGCTGAGGCAAACCCCACAGTCACACGTACACCCCAACAAACCCTAAACCCTAAACCCTAAACCCTAGGAGGGTGGAGTGGCGCGTGCAAACAACTAAACAAAACACCTACCGCAAACCACAAACCCTAAACCCTAAATTGAGCTGAACCCCTAACCTCACCACAGGAACCACGCCCAAACCCTACCAAACCCAAACCCTAAACCCTAAACCCTAAACCCTACCCCCAAAGGGCCTCCTTGATTCTGGCTGGGCAGATTTCCCCCTCCGTCATTGCCTGGTCCAGCGATACCATCAGCTGCACGCAAAACCCTAAACCCTAAACCCTAAACCCTAAATTCTAGGTGCTTGAAGCCCTATCTGCAAGACACAAAGCTTCTGTTCTAGGGTTTAGGGCTAAATAGGGTTTAGGGTTTAGGGTTTAGGGTTTGGGGTGTACGTACACCAAAGGCGTAAGCCTGGCAGTTTTTAAGTTCTGCTTGAAATTGAAATTCACCGACCTGCAGACAAAAGGAAATAATAAAAAACAAATATAAAAATAAAAAATAAATAAATAAATAAAAAGGAAGTAATAAACAACAAATAAAATAATAAAAAGAAATAAAAACAAAATAATAACAAGGAAATCATAAAAAACAAAAAAGAATAAAAGGGAGATAATAAAAGAAATAAAATAATAAATAATAAATAATAAATAATATAATAATATAATAATATAAATAATAATAATAAAACAAAAACACGAAAGAAAACAACAGAGAGAGAGCACCAAACACAACCATCCTACGGTAGGGTTTAGGGTTTAGGGTTTAGGGTTTAGGGTTTGCTCCTTAAGAGAGGTTCGGTATGAAAACGGACAAACAAATTAAATGCCAACGAAAACAATAAGGAGACCAAACAAAAGACAAACAAAAATAAACAAAAACAAACAAAACAATAAAAATAAAATTAAAAATATAACGCCGACGGAAAGAGACTCAACGGGACGACGCCCCCAATACAAAACCCCATATATATATATATATATACATATATGTATATATATATATATATGTATATATATATATATATTATATACATATATATATATGTATACATATATACATATATAGATATAGATATAAGACATAGTGTTTGAGGGCTTATAAATAATTAAACACACACACATTCATATATATATATATATACATATATATATATATGTATACAAATATATATGTATATTGATGCACTAGAACAAATAATTTATAAATAAATAAATACATGTATATACTGATGTATTAAAATAAATAAAAAGTGCTGTTAACTCAACCACTAGATGCATGCATACGTTCATATCTGGGGTGTATCCTCACCTTCTTTATCTTCAGCCAATCCCTTATTAAACCCCACACCTGTCTAAATAAAACTTCATTTAAAATCTCACCAGACACCTCAGCACGCAAAGCAGAAATCCTTATTGCTAAACCCAAACCCTCAGGCACAGGCGGGGGGCCCCCAAAGGGGGCCCCTAAAGGGGGGCCTTCCTCTAAAGGCCTTTCAAGGGGGCCCCCTTCAAAGCCCTTGGATTGATGGGGGCCCCCTTCTTTGGGGGCCCCCCCAATAGGAGTTCCTTCAGAGGCCCCCTTAGGGGCCCCCTTAAGAGTCTCCTTAGGGGCCCCCTTAAGGGCCCCCTTAAGAGTCTCCTTAGGGGCCTCCTTAAGGGCCCCCTTAAGAGCCTCCTTCGGGGCCCCCTTAAGAGCCTTCTTAGGGGCCCCCTCCGCTGTGTGTAGGGCGGCTGTAGATGCAGCAGCAGAAGAAGAGAGCAGTACATTTGCTGTTTGTGTGATGGTTTGAGTTTGCTGCTTGGTGCTGCTGTTGCTGCTGTTGCTGCTTGCTTCAGCAGCAATTTGCATCATACGGTGTACATACACCCGACGTGTTAGGGCCTCCCTAACTTCTTCTGGGGTTAAAGGAGTTATTCGCTGTGGCAGCCAAGAAGCAAACCAGTCTTTCATTCTGCTACTGCTGCTGCTGCTGTTGCTGCTGCTGCTGCTGCTGCTGCTGCTGCTGGTGAGGGCGCGGGTGTTCGTATAGGGGATACTAAGCAGGGGATTATTAAAGAAAGAGCTTTTCTTGCTTTTGCTGCTCTGCATGAGGCGACAGTTGAACATCCACAGGTGCAAAACCAGCAAATAGAAAGGCCCGTTAAAACCACCGCCAATGCCGAACGCTGAAGACACAAACAAAACAAATAATTATATCTATAATATATATATATATATATAATATTATATATATATGCATGTAATATATTATATATATAATATATATATATGTTTTGTATATATAATATATATGTGTATATTTATGCTGAACACACAAACAAAACAAATAATTATATTTATAATATTATATTTATAATATTATATATATATGCATGTGGTATATTATATATATAATGTATATAGATGTTTTGTATATATAATATATATATGTGTATATTTATATATGTATATATATTTATTTATTTATTTCTTATAATTTTGCTTTGAGTATATACAATAGACAGAAAACAAAAATTAAAGACCCTTGCATAATATATATATATATATATATATATGTATATATATATATATATACATATATATATATGTATATATATATG